TCTGGTCCATGGGGTCATGAAGAGTTGGACACAACTTAACAACCAAAAACAACACAAAACAAGGTAGCCCTGAGTTGAAAGCCAGGGCTGCACTGAATTGTTGCATGCTACAAACAGATCTGAAATTAAGTTTTGCTGATGACCACTTCATCCCCATTCTACACTACAAGTTGGTCTGCCTGAAATAAATGAATGTTCTCTCTCCATTGACACATGCCTCCTTTCTCCTTCCCTACCAATGCTCACCTATAAAGTGATTGCTCCTTGGGGCATGGGTTTGTCCTCTTAGACTTTGCAGAGTGCCATGCATGCTGACGATGGCACACTTATTGATATATCTGACAGAATTAGTGGCACTCAAGCTCATTGAAAATATTTGCTTCCATCAATATCCAACAATGTCTGAGCGATGCCACACTTATTGATATATCTGGCAGAATTAGTGGCACTCAAACTCCATCAATATTGCTTCCATCAATATCCAACAATGTCTGAAAGTCTACCATGAAAAGCTCCTGGTGATTTCTCCATCCCAAATTGCTGTTCGCTACAAATGCAGTCCAGGGGCTTTCTTATTTAAATTGCACCACCACCAACCACCAACCATATGGTTCCCTTAAATTCCCAGTTTGCTTCCCTGATGAATGGAGGAGACTCCAACCTAGTAGGAATAAGCAAAGGCTGGGTGATCATTATGCTTCAGTGCTACATTAGGTCTTCAGTTTGCAGACATTCAACACCTACCCGAATATTGTCAAAGGACATACGGCTGGTGATATCATAGAGGAGGAGGAGTGCTGGAAGACAAAACATATGGATTTCATTCCCTTCTGGCATTAACAAGCTACTATGAATATATGGAGCTACCTTATACTAAGTCAAACCACTCATCCATTTGCCCATGCCTTACATATGCTGGTCAACAGCAGCAGTCTAAAATCTCTGTCAGGTGGGTGACTCCAGCTTTCCTGCCTGGGAACCTGAGACCTTCCTGTGTGCCAAACAGTAGCTCTACCTCAGATCTATGGGGTATTCACATTTTTATCAGATTCCCCTAGTAAACGGCTGCTTCACAGAGAATCCCAACTCTGATCTAACTTGGGATGGAACAAGACACCCCTATGGAAAACCAACCCTGTGCATCACGGTAGTAAGCATGAGTCACACTCCGGAAGCGCTCCTGGCCAGCAGTGTCCCAGATCTGCAACAAGGCAAGAGAAAAGTCTTTTTTATTCTACTCCGTTATCAGAACATAGACGTGAAGCCAATGCCAGTGTGGGCAAAACACCTCTGCACAAAAGAAAAACCCATAGGCAACTCTTTTTTTTTGTGAACACATCTGTCAGGTCTAAAGGCTATGACTAGTGGTTCCTCCACAGAGAGTGTCATCTGGCACCTTTTTTGGTGTCATTCTGGTGCCTTTAAAATTTTTTTCTTTAATCTTTCTTACTTCTTCTTAACCAGAGATGGATTGACTAAGCCATGGCATTGACCTTGCAAGACCTGAGGAGGGCTATTACAGACAGGACCTTTTGGAGGCTATTGCCATAAGTCAGAAGCAGTTTGATGAACACAACAGCAACAGTGTTCAACTATTTTGACTTTCTGCAGTTTTGTATTACACATTTCTTGGTGTTTTTATTATTAATGAATTTAATATTGGGGATTTCTCTCCTTCTTACGAATCCCTGAGAATTCCAGCCTATAAACATGTCAAGTCAGGTGAAACTAAATCCTACATAAGGTATTTTGGTAAAGATAATGTCAGGAATTACTGGATGCTTGAAAAACAGTGAGGACAAAATGTGGAGTAATCGTTCAGAATTCACAAAGCTGTAACAAGTAAAAACTGCTACCCTGAAGGCTATCTCCAGGGTCCAATTAACAAGAAAGCTGACTGCTTTCTTGTTAAGTGAGTTTCCACAGCCAAGCAGAAATTTGAATCTGGGTCTTCTAAGTCTTGAGCTATCACTCTAACCATTATACTGCAATTGGTGAAAATATTTCTAACCCACCTTATACTGATAGATCTGTAACAGCTAAAGCACAGCTATAGATAGAACTCACTCTTCCTGCGGCAGATAAAGGTAAAGGGATATTTTTAAAAACCCAGGAAGAAAAGCTGTATCTGTTCAGAAGGGATTCACGACGCAAGCGACTTCAGAGGAAGTTCATCAGACTTACCTGCAGTTTCACTTTGACACCATCTACTGTCACTACTTTGTTCTGAAAATAAATAAATAAATAAAACCACACTATTGAGTCGACTAATAACAGGGATTGAAAAGAAAGCTCTGGCTTTCCCTTTAAATTACTCAAGGGAAAGCCAGCTATTACACTCTTACAAGACAAAGTTTAAAGTCTATCAACAGCAATTCAGTCCTGCTGGGCAAAAACTCTCTTGGGGGGGGGGAGAAAGAGAGAGTCTATCTTTCTCAGTGTTTTGCCAGGAGCTCTGGAAACAGCTCACAGGATGTGTGTCAAAAGCATCTCTTGCTACTTCCTAGCCCACTCAAAAGGGCCTGCAGCTCTTGGGGGGTGGGGAGAGTTTGAATGTAAAAGGCAATGCTGCTAAACCATTTTAGGCTTATATACACAGGCCTCAAAGGAGCAGAGGACAAGAAACCAGTTTGCCTGATGAAGTACCACATTTTCCATAACTCTCAGTGATCCTCATACAGGAAATGGCAGGAATCAATAAAATCTACAAATTCTTCTGCTTCATGTTGTGGGTTGTCTTAATTTAATGCCACCTGACCACATCAAATGAAATTTCTGGCTCAGGATGAAGTAAAGAATCTCAGGGGAACTGGCACATTGCCGGAAGGTGAGGGGGAGAGATCAATTCCAAAACAAGACTGCTGATTGCCATCAGATAAAGCTGTCAGTGGCGTCATGCTACCTACTAACCCACAGCATTTGACCCCAACACTCAGGGGACTAATATATTCCGAGAAGGGGGAGACCTGGATTGAAAACAAAATAGAAGCGAAACAAACTAGCCCAACTAGGGAAAGAGAAACTAAGATTAATTGAAAGTCCAATTTCTACTACAGTACACACTTTGGGTCAACTTAGATGTTGAGAGGAATGTGACTTCCCAACAAATTGCCAGGGTTTTTTTACTCCCCACAATCCAATCTCCCTAGAGACGCTTGCCTCCGCAATCAGATTTAGGGTTAGGATTGGTTTACCTACTGTATTAATAACCAATCACAAAGTAAAACATGGTTAAAATGCAAAGTGAGAAGAAGCAGGTATGTTTCATCATTTGGGAGCACTGCTTCTAAATAAGTGCTTCCTTTATCATGTAGGTTGACCTTAGAAATCATACTCAACAAAGTAATCAAGACTAGAGTACAACAGTTCTTAAATTCGTACCCCTGTCCTTCAGACCTGCCCCACTATGAATCCTTCTGCTTTGTTTCCTCTTCCGCATTGAATTCTAAAACTCCCTTTACATTTCCTGCTAATGAGTTTTTATTTATCAGATATATTATTCATAGACATTATCCATATTAATTGATCTCAAGCAGACAAACAACAGAGAAATAGGAAAAGGCCAAGAAACTCTAGATGCAAAATATAGTTTTCTACCATAACTGTTGACAGGCCCTTGTATATCCCAGTTACAATGGTTCACATTTTTTACTCTGCCATTTGTTGGAGGAGTTACAGGTGGCATCAGAGTTTCTTTCCTGTGTCACCTTTAGAACAATCCTGTGGGGTACACTGGGCTGAGAAGCTGTGACTAGCGCAAAGTCACCTAATGAGCTTCATGGCTGAATAGAAACTTGGGTCTGGTGGTCCCCATCCTGTCACAGCAGTCACTACCCCATAATGTCTTCCAATCAGGTGACTGGCTGGAGAAGACATCTTCTCTTGAGCCAGAGTGGCAAGCTGAGAATTTCTGCCTGGTGGAAATAATGTGCAGGAATTAGATTAATGTATTGGAATGCTTTATGCTCATCTGTAAAGTGTCCGTGAGAGAATGGTCAGCTCTTGATTCAGGAGGGCTGTTTTCTTTTTCTTTAGTATTGACACTCAGCTACCATATTTGTATACCGTGTGTGTGTGCGCGCGTGCATGCACACGCACAGGCACACATACATACACAGTGGCAGGCCCTCCAGAGGCAGGACAAACCTTGAGGATGCAGAGACCGGCATTAGCCTAGCACTAGCAGCCCTCCTTAAAGGGCATTAGTTGGTTGGAATCACCGTGGAGACCTAGGCCCCAGCCCAAGCCTAAAGACAGTGCCGGCTCGGTCACTGGAACTTGGCCCAGGCTGGGGATGGAAGGCCGTAGGGGGCTAACTGGGTCCCCTGTCCCAGTGAGTGTTCAGGATGGTAGAAGTCAAGTGCCCGCCTGAAGTTAATCCTACTGACTAACTCATGAATGCCTGTTTCCTAAACCAGGTTTCTCTGGCAACTGCAATACAAGGGCAGGAATCACAAAGAATTGGCAGGGATACTTAACCCTTTCCCTGCATGCTATTGCTCTCCTTTGCAGCCTCTTCTTCTCTCATCCAGCTGTGGTTATTTATGTATTTGGAACAAAAAATAGAGAAAATAATGGAGAGTGGGCAGTGAGAACAGATACAAAGAGGAAGGTTAAACATCTGTCTACCATCCACCAGTTCTCCCCCTGCAAATGTCCCCATCTAATAGCATCAGGGTTACAAAGGGAAATATTAGCGACAGGTAGTTTTACCCCCAAAGCAGCATTGATCATCCTTGTATATGCAATATTGTGCTATAGCATCCTTTATTTTATTTATTTATTTATTTATTTACTTTATTTATTAGATTTCTATCCCGTCCATCTAGACCAAGGTCTACTCTGGGCGGTTTACAAATTTAAAAACAATAAAACCAATAAGCATATATTATAAATCCAAGATGGCAAAAGTATAAGAAATTAAGATATGGCAGGAGAGAAAGCCTGCCCAAATAGTCAGGTTTTGTTTCTGAAAACACCCAGAGAGGGAGCCAGGCGGATCTCCACAGGCAAGTTGTTCCAACTGCAAGGGGCCACTGCCGGGAAGGCCTGGTTCCTTGTTCTTTCCTTCCAGACCTCCCACAGTGTTAGGCGCCCTCAGCCGCCTGGTCTGGTTGGAACGAGTGACTCTGGCAGAACTAGGTGGGAGAAGGCCACCTTCCTTCTTTATCAGCCGTTACTGCAATACAGTGGTAGTGGAAAAGTTGGGGGTTAACATTATGTTAGGGAAGTTGTGCGGCTGCCCCAATTTGCATTCTGTTATTTGGAAGGATATTTTTTTAGTGTTTCTGTATTTGATTCATAAAGTCTGTATATTTTTTGTTGTACACCACCCAGTTTTTCTAAATGGGTGGTATAAAATCGAATAAATAAATGAATAAATAAATAAATCCAACATAGCTTTTTAGTAATGTTTTCTAAGAGAAGTATATGAGGGGACATCAAGCCACGTTTTTTGTTCTCGAGATAGAATCATACTGGTTAGTTATACCAGCATTAGTGCAATGGTATTAACTGCAGCAGCAAATGGTTTAAAGGTTCCTGCTTTCTCTCTCATTGTGCATCTGCCATCTGAGTTGGTGTGCAAAAAAGGACACAAGTGGCAGCTTATTAATTAGTGGGTGCCATTTATGCCACTTCACTTCACAACATGGCCAATCAATAGGATTCTAGTCACTAAATGTTCTCCAGAGACAAGGAGAGCAATTTAGGCTACTGATGCATCTTCAATAATGTCAGTCAGTTAAAAATTCTCTACCATTTAAGCAGAGTCAAATATGAGTGTTGTTTAAGGTGTGGAGACATTTTGCCAAAGTATCGCCCTTATTTTTCCCCCCAGTATCAAATCCCAATGATATAAAGGCTTCCAGTCCCACATTCTTCAGACTTTGTTTCAACAACCCTCCATTCTACAAACTGGATAGATTGTTCGCCCAACAAATATCATGGTCATACCACAAAGTGATGAAAGCGGTTCCCCGGAGCTGAGAATAAGAGATGTCAACATACTGAAGATTCTTTGTGGCAACAGTTCAATTCAATACACACATCATCACTTACAGAATCAGTGTTCTCAAAGTGCTGAACTCATAAAAATAGGAAATCTCTGGTGGATAGTAACTGAAGGTCTCCCCGAGACATCCCATGCAGCTGCTTGCTAAAATATTCCTTTGAATGCTGCAACTTTTCTAATGCTCAGGGGGAAATGTGCTCCTGAAAGGCTCACCAGCTTCACAATTTGTCTAACAGGTAAGGCTGTAGGGCTTAGGAAATGGAGAAAGGTCATGCTAAAGGTCAGCTTTTCCCATCACAGTAGCAGCAAGAGAAACAGCATCTCCTGAATTTATTCTATAATTCAGATGGAGATTTCTGGTCCTGTTCATGCAATATCTTGGCAATACTGTACATTAAATTTGGACTTCCCATGCCTAGTACTGTCCAGCAGTAACAGACTTCAATTCCTGTCAACCCCAGACAGGAATATGCTGGGCAAGCCAACTAGGAATGATGGGAGTTGTAGTCTGACACATTTATTGGGCACAGGGTTGGAAAAGGCCATGCAGGCAGTTGCTGAAAAATTGCTTCCACATGCCTTGGGTTACAGATTGCAGAATTTGTCTAGGTAACCAAGGGTTCAGTCAAATGACAGAGATTTTTTTCCAGTGCTGTGTCAGTGGCAGCAAAACCAGTGTCCTTTGTAGATCTCAGTGCAGTCAACGTGAACCACAATGAACTGGTGAAACCTTGATCACAAGAGGTTTTTCAATGCCACATTGTAAGATAACCTGTTATTTGATTCTCATAAGGTAGGGGGTGGGAATGTTTGGAGTCAAGCAAATGGAAAGCTTGAGGGAGAAAAATTCAGAAAAAACTGGCTAGGTTTAGCATGAAGCAGCCACTCAACTGCCAAGGAAACACTGAAGATGGCTGATCTCCAACTTCACAAAACAGCTCATAACCTGGCTAGGTTTAGCATGAAGTGGCCACTCACTTAACTGCCAAGGAAACACTGAAGATGGTTGATCTCCAACTTCACAAAACAGCTCATAATACAAGGTTTAAGAAAAATCTTACTAGTTTCTAGTCTTCCTAAGATATATAAGTGTTCAGAATTCTACACAAAGGTACACTAAGATGTTTCAGTGCCTGATGGAGAAAAGCCAGGTAACTCAGCACCTCAACATGGGTTTAAATGACTAGATAGACAAAATTTGTGCCCCCCATATTTTGAGGCAAATGTGTCCAATTGCACGGGAATCCTCCAGAAAGAATAGAAAGGTTACTATGCTAAGCTACATAGGATCAATTATCAATATGCAGAAATAGGAAACAATAGTCTACTGTTTAAAAGATCAACGGATTCAAATACAAAATTCTGTGCTTTCAATCTGTCCAAAGAAAGTTTTTAAGGAACTAGGGGTAAAAACAAAACAAATAAAACAGCCCGATACGAAATGGCGTTAAGCAAATGTAGAAACTTGGCATGCCTGATTTTTATTCTTCAACAGCCACATAGGATCAGGATGGGGAGGGAGATCTTGCCTCTTCACCCCACAGTGCCACCTTATCCCCAAATTGCCTTTAGCTCAGGAGAGCCACTTCTGCTGCCACCAAAGAAGCCTCCCCCCAATGACTAACAGTTTTGGGTGCACAAAGGGCCAGCCCAAGCCCTCCCATCACCCTAGGGAGGAACAGAAAGGCCGCATCACGTACCGTGAGGAGAAGAGGGTGACGGCACTTTTCTTCCCTCCACTGCCTACCTACATATCCCAGGCACTCCTCGGCTGACCATTACATGAATAATGCCTTGGCCCTGCCTGAAGGACCAAGGCATTATTCACATGGCTGGCTAAGGGTCAACTACTAGGGTATTCAAATGAGTAGTGATGGGGAGAAAAATGCACCACTGATGCCACTGCCTCCACCTCGTGGTGACTGGTGCACAGGGTAGCAGAAGGTGATGCTTCTCTTCCCATTCCAGGTAGGGAAGAGGAAGCTAAGGACAATGACAACCAGTTCAGGCAGTGGAGGCTGAGCGGTGGCATGGCTCCACAGCCATTCCCTGCACATCACCACCACCTGGGGTGAGTACCTCAAGCCTCAATCTGCCCTGTGGCTTCAGCAGGCTTGAGTATACATAAGAGATTTTTGTCGGGACCGCAGCAAAGGTAGAAAAGGTCCAATGGAACCTTTCTGTGTTATGAGATTCTGATCCTGCTTGCTATTTAAAAGACACAAATCAAGCATGGATACACATGCAATGGTCATATCACATCTGGCCTGCCTTGTCCTCATCTCAGTGGAAACACAGCTGGATGCCTGACAACTGCCCCCCCCGCATCTTCCTTTAGGTTTTGGCAGCTGTAGCAGTCTCACCCGGAAGTCTATGCCGACAGTGGCTATGAAGGTTCCCGAGAGGAAGGCCCCGTCTTTGAACTGGATGAGGAAGCAGGTTTTCCCCACGCCTGAATCGCCAAGCAGCATCACCTACAACATGGGGTGCAAAAGCCCATTAATAGTGCAAGGTGGCAGGAGCACATAACTTTCAGTGTGGTTGGAGCGGAGCGGTTGGGCCAGAAGAAGAACTGACAATCCAGGGTCTGGTCATGGCAGCACTGCTTCCCATTCCAGTGAGCGTACTATGGACTGCCCTTAGTTACTGCTAAGCCTGGTCCACTTCTCTCTCCGTACTCCTACTGAGTTTTTGGATGGGTGTTCACATAACAGGTCACTTCTCTTTTCTTTTTAAATATTTTTGAATATCCTGTTACACAGAGACATACACTGTAGAGTTGGAAGGAACCCCAAGAGTCTCTGAGTTCAACCTGCTGCCAGAACAAGATATCCAGAAGTGTCTCTCCTGTTGGAGACAAAATAGAACTTTAAAAATGTCTTTTCTTTTTCATGCTGGCTGGGGGATTCTGGGAGTTGTAGTCCAAAAAGGTAAATTTTCCAAGCTCCGATCTGGAAATACCTGAACTCCAATACTTGAGAGTTTCACAAACATAGAAAATAGCTGGTCTTCAATCTCCTCTTAAGCTTTCCAGACATACCAAAGAATGCAAGCAATCCTTGAAACCTTTTTATTTCTATCTGTAGTGCTGCGCATGATGCTAACAAAAGATAATCTAGGACAATCTTTCCATATTCTGCTCCGCTTTACATCTTCTGACCAAGAAGGTCAGAAAAATCAATATATATCCTCTACTCCATGCCACAGCTACAAACCTCTGCAGAGAATTTCCCTTCTGTTCTGCTTATTGAATGGAACCCATAAACCAAGAGCATTGCTAGAACACTTAGATGGACCAGCTAATCTGGTATCCTGCTGCCCATGCTGGCCAACCAGATATTTGCAGGAAGGCCACAGTAGGGCAGGAAGGCAACAAAAGCAGCACACGCTGAACTGTCTTAATCTTGGGGCACCCAAAAGTTTTGGACAGCATAGCCAACATTCAGGAAGATGATGTCCAAAACAACTGGTGGACCAACTGGCATGAGCAACAGTTTTTCTCTGCACTGATACTTCCATTCTGTGTAAATCAGTCAAGAAAGGAAAAGGAAGGAAGCCACGAAACATATTTTAAAGTCAGTGGTAAAAAGAGGCTTTACTACATCTTCCTGTCTTCCACAACAGTCAAGTCTTGTGTAATCCAAGCAGTATGTGATTTTCTGCATATAAACGATCCAAAACAGATTCTTTAGAAGATTCTTTTATTGTAAGTTTACCCCTGCCTTCTCTCCCAAAATGAACAGAAGGGTACAAACACTTTCCTCTGACTGGTTGCCCTTACTTTCATGACCCTTAAATAGCTTTTCCCTCTTCCCATCAGCTTCTCTCTGAAGCAATCTTAAAGATCACCTTCTACTTCTTGCTGGGATTAATACCTTATCCCTGTTACAGTCTATTAAAATGTCACTCCATCTGTTTAGCTTCCTCTTTGACCAAATCATGTATCCACATTCTAGATGACACTACCTGAGCTTTAGAACTAAAGCTCTAAAGCTCAGGTAGTGGATTGGCATGCTTTTAGACAGCAGAAAAAAAAACCTGGTATAACAAACCAATCAAGATGAACTGCCACATATTCAGCTTTGCCTCTGAACGAACAGCATGTTTTTTTTAAACTGCCAACAAGTCTCCAGTGCCATCTGTGCCCTTAATTGAGAGAAAACCTCTCAGACTCAGTGAGACTTCCTTCCACAGAAACATCCATCTCAGATCAGAAGTTAAATCTGCACCAAAACTTTGGGCTGAAGAAGTCATCAGACCACCTGAGATCGGTCAGCAATGAGCAGCTCCCTACTCAGATGAGTGTTCCTCTCCTTCACACCATTAACTAACACAACCTTTGCAAGATCCAAGCATTTAGTAATCCCTCAGGTAGTTTCCACCGGCTGGCACAGCCCCAAACCTGCATGTTTTTTTTATATTCACTGGAGCCAGCTCTATTCACTGTGATTAGGATCTCAAGTCTGTTTGTAAAAATGGGGGCGGGGGGGGGAAGCACCTTGTTTCTCTGCCTTTTGTCAGCAACCAGAATTGCACACAGGCTTCACAGGGGCTTAAGTCTCTTTCAAAGAAAAGCTAAGGAGAAGTCCCATTATACCATGCGACTCAGGTGGGGACGTGCTATGAGCAAACTTTGTCTGATTTGGGATTCTCTCTTTCCTTCGTAGGTGCCTCACCCAGGCAGCAAGATAGCAGAGCAAACAGGCAACCCAGCATCCACTCCTCCTAAGCAAACAGACTTCAGCTTAGTCCAGAAGTCCTGGGTTTGTTGGATCAGTTATTACACCAGAAAAGGGAATGCCTATAGTATTATCTGTGTTACTGTAAGAAAAAAAAAACACCAGTCTTCTTGCAGCATTTTAAAGACACATCATAATATTGTGGCACAAACCATAAGGGCTTAGAACCCAGTGTTCCTTGGTCAAACCCATGAAGTTTGTATGAGAAGAAGCCTGTTTCTCCATCAAATTCCTTGTAGTTTCTGTTGTCAGAGACAAAGAGTGAGACCCTTCTGGAATGTATCATCATGAGAGACGTTGACTGGCAAGTACTCATCCACCTATAAAGCTTTGCTCTGAGATAAGAGTTATCTCCTGTTTGTCACTGACCGGCAAACCTATCAGATATATCAGCCACCCTTACAGGAAAAACAAACACTGGGCTCTTAACTGGCAAGTCGTCTCTCTCTCTCTCTCTCTCTCTCTCTCTCTCTCTCTCTCACACACACACACACACACACACACACACACACACACACACACACAAACCCTAAAAGCAAATAAAACCAACTCAAACAAACACAGATCTAGATGAAAGGAAGAAAGAACAAGGGGACTCATCTGGGGTAATGGTGTCTTTTCTCAGAAGATTATTTTACTTCAGTGCCCACTATTCTACTGGCTATTTATATCGGCGTAAGCAAAAACAAATAAATCGCAGTAGCAAGCTGCTGCTAATTAATGAGTTTCTACTTGTATTCTTCATTGTGCACCGAGTCATGCAACTGGCTCTCACCACAGAACACAAGCAGTGACTCATTAACTAAGGGCAATTCATCTCTTCACTTATGCTGACATAAGAAACAAATAGAATTTTAGCCACAGCTTCCCAAACGTCTAGTGGCAGAAGCACACTTTTTCACCACATCACATTTACACTCTGACCGGTGTAATTTTAAGAATGTGGAAGAGTCTGAACTACCTGCCAGTTCAGGATCTCCCTATCATGTTTCCATACTGGGCAGGCTACCCTGTCAGAAAAAGGCAAGCCACAGAAGATACAGTACAGGCAAGGGGTGGTAGGAGGGCCTGGCTTGCTCTCTCTGTAATGAGTCAGCAGTGACTGAATGAAGGGTCGGTGCTGGGACTGGCACGGTCAGGCATCTGCTGCCGGCTGCTGCCCCCTCTCAGATTCCCCTGGATCTACTACTGCTTCTCTTTGGTTTTGCTAACTGGTTACCACCCGCCTCTCTCCATGAATATGAGCAGTGGCAGACACCAGGGGAAGGAGCAGGAGCCTTTGCTCATCACTTTGCTTTCTCCCTTGTGGACAGGAGGAAAAATACTGGGCACAAGGGGGCAAGGCAAGCAAGGGGGTAGCAAAATAACAATTAGGAAAAGGATGGCTGGCTGGATGTGGAAGGGACTAAAAAGCATCTCACCCCCCCCCAAAAAAAACCCTGAAATGAAAGGAGGGATGCTGTTTAGATGACTAAATACAGTGGGGGCTTGACTTGAGAACTTAATCCGTATTGGAAGGCGGTTCTCAAGTCAAAAAGTTCGCAGGTCAAATCTGCATTTCCCATAGGAATGCATTGAAAACCATTTGATCCGTATCTGCTCTTTTCCGTCCATAGAAACTCATGGGAAGCTGCTATTCCGCCTTCGACCACTAGAGGGGGATATTTTTGTTTCTTTTTTTCTTAGGTCAAGAAAGGTTCAGGGAAGGCAGGGAAAATACAGTCCAGGCAGTACAATACCAGGCAGTCTGAAGACTGTCTCCCAATCCACTCTCTAAACGCTGGGAGGAGTGAGGAAGCAGACAGGCACCCTTTTCACTGGCCAACAGTTAACTGAAAGTTCACATTTTTCACTTTCCCTGCCTCCCACGTGGATTTTTTTCAGTTCTTAACTCAAATCTAAGTACTTAAGTGAAGTCAATATTTTCCTATGAGAGCGGTTCTTAAGTCAAAATGTTCTTAACTCGAGCCATTCTTAAGTCAAGACCCCACTGTAGCTCTAAGCTTTGCTTCTGGCTACCAACCAGCCAGTACAAAAGCCAAAGGAAGGCAAATGGCTAAAAGGACTTTTCTCCCACATCTGATCCTTACCAATGAAAACCAGGGCAACCCAGTTTCAAAAGGTGAACACCAGGCTTGCCTTTGCTGCAACTCTCTGCTGAAGTACAGCCTCTTGCTTTTCCCCAGAGAAGAAAATGAGAGGTGTTACAGCAGATATTGGTCCCTGGTCACTTCAGGGAGAAGCAATGACTCCAAACATTAACTTCATAGTCATGTATCTGCTTCATGCAGCTTGGCTGAAGAGCCAGAGTTTGGAGTTTGATTCCCTACTGTGCCTCCTTGACAGGGGCTGGACATGATGATCCTGCCAGATCTACAGTTATAATTTGCTTAATCATCATCATCATCATAATCAACAACATAGTTTGAGCAGAGAAGGTGAGTGATGCTTAATCCTTTGCACTTCCATGTTTTTGCTCTCCCATCCCCTGACAGAAGTTAAGGTATGTGTTGCTCATGCCTGTCTGAGTGTTTTCATACATCCACAAAATGCATCCTAGACCAGCCTGGCAGAGGAATTCCAAGAACCAGTTTTGTGATGAACACCATCAACAAACCACAAAGGAAGACAAGAAGCAGGTTCTGAGCAAGCACCAGTGTTGCTATTGAGTTTTCTACCTGTGCCATTTTGGACTACGACACCTAACTTTGTATCCCAAAAACTGCACTAAAAACTCCTTTGCTGGTTCAGTGCTGGATCTTCTTCTGAAAGCGGAAAGTCAAAGATAAGGTGAACCCATTAAGAAGACCGTTTTGTTGGCTGAAGCCACCCTTGTCGTTCTCCATGTAATGGGCAATTTGGCATGCCATGGCTAACTCAACTCCAAAGGGATTTACAGCCGCAAGCAAGAGATGGCAGCTTCCCACTCATGGCAAACAATATGCACAATGCATTAGAGATGGGAAATGGTGGTGCAGTTTGAACTACAACTCTCACAGTACCCCAGCTAGCATGGCCAGAGTCCATTCGGGCTGGGATACACTGCGAACCTTAGTCAAAAGAACGAACATTTCTCATGAATCTGGTACACTGGTCATGAGCTGGACAGAAAACCCAGCTGTGTTGGTTGCAGGGGCAGATCCTATGAATGGCTCCCATGTGCAAAATGGCTCAGCTTCCCCATCTACAGACCTGCAAGAAGCTCATACAAATCCTGGGGCAGAAGACCCCTATCCAGCTTCCCAGAGACAATGTTTTACATTAAGTATAATAAGGCACCTGGCTAACTTCGATCCAGCAGAGGACTACCGTTCTTTGAAAAGTTACTTTTTGGACCACAATTCCCAGAATCCCTTATTACCAGAATTCCACCGCTGGAGAAGTTTCCGTGTTGTATTTCAAAAATAGTACTTTCCCCAAAGTTTGCATCAGTACCTGTCAACTCCTCCTTGGGTAAAAAATCCTCAACCCAAATTAAAGAGCAGGGATAAAGTCTGTTACTGGAGATAGTTACTGGAGATGTCTTTTTGGTTCTCTTCCTGTTGTAATGGCTACAATATGCACAGCAGCTGCACTGCTCTCCCACAGGCAGGGATTATTGCTCCCTGCTCTCCCTTGTCAAAGGTTGGGAGAACTAGTCTGTGTGGCCTTGGGCAAGTGGCACAGTCCCAGGTTGGCCCCAAAAGAAGGGGACAGCAAATCACTTCTGAGTACCCTCTACTTAGGAAACCCTGGAAAGGGTCACCATAAGTTACAACTGACTTGACGGCACTCCCTTGTCCCCATCACTTCAGAGTGGGATTCTTGTGGGAGACCAGCGCACAAGACTCAAATGTGAATTGGAGGAAATCAATTCTCCTGCTTCATCTCACCCTTCCCCCACCTCACTCATGATCATCTTCCCACAAAGGCTACTTTCAACTGATTCTGCCAAAGGTGGTTTGAATAGTATCAGCAGCAGCTGTCACCACCATCCTAAGAAAGAATGGTGTATAACTACTGTAACAGTTTCTGTGGGATCCCTTTAGAGCCTGCAATCTTGCTCAAGAAGGTGGGAAACTGTGGTTTTATTCCATCCCAAACTAAGAGTCTGCCAGAGTGCCTTCAGAAGCAGGGCGTTGTGTTTGCATTTGAGCCCAGCAGGACTTGAAAAGAAGATTTCACCAAGGTTGGGGGGGGCACTTGTTTCTCAGTGACAAGTGCATGTTTTGCTAACATTTTGGGTACAACTATAACAACTGAGCAACAGAGAGAAATTCAGCTGGAGAGTTGGCCTCTGCTTTTGCACCTCTGGGCTGCGGAGCAAGCACCTGTTGAATTTCTGAGGTGTGCACCTGTTCAAGGTAAAACAGGTGAGGGGGTAGAGGATGATGGCAGTGCCAAGACCTCAGCCCTGGAATGCCTGAAGGAGAATGCCTCTGAGCTTGTGCAGAGTGCTCTTCTTTCCTCACCAAAACAACATAAATGACTTCCACCAATTGGGGAGGAAGGTTTTTCTAGGCAGGCTTGAGCCCCACCAGCATCTTTCCTTTGAGAGTTCCCCAGACTTCGCCTTGCCATTCTCCGGCACCCAGAAATTAGGGATCATAATCAAATTCCGCACAGGGGAGCTCGAAAATCCAGCCTCCGAACAACAGGAAGGGGCGGTGGGCGAGGGGTAACCCGTTCTGGGGGAAAACTCTGCCTCTAGGGCAGCACAAGGGGAGTCGGGTCCCCTCCTCACCCTTCGTGGTTTCCTCCCGTGGACAGCGAGGCACAACCTCACCCCCGCAGCTGCCCCTCCGCCTGCCCCACCCACTCGCGCCCCCTAGTGCCCACCGGTGGGAGGGGGGGAAAGAGGAGGCTCACACCTTGCCGGAGAGGTCGTAGTCGCCGCAGCTGCTGCTGACAGACGAGCCCCTTTTCACCCGCCGAGGCGAAGGGGTCCCGTTCCGCGCCAGAGAGGGGGCGCCTCCTCCTCCTCCTCCTCCTCCACGTCCCCCGTTGCTGGCCATGGTGCCTCCCGGGCCGGGAGCAGGAACTGCCTGGGAGAAGAGGCTGGAGGAGTCCGGCCACGCTGCCGCTGCCTCCGCCACTCCTCCCTCCTGCCCGCAGGACCTCCCCTTCCCGAGCGAGCGCCGGGGGTGGCTTCGGCGGCGGCCGTTGCTTTGCGCTCGGGAAGAAGCCCGGGAAGCGGTGGCTCCTCCCCGACGAGCCTCGAGGGTGGCCGGAGGAGGAGGAGGAGGAGGCAGCCCACGGCCGTTCCCCGGCGCGCAGCCTTTCTCCAAGGCGCCCCTTTCGGGCGGAGAATCCCCAGGCGGGAAAAAGAGAGAGAGAAATAGGCACCCACAAGATCGGGCTCTTTGGGAAGAAGGGAGAAAAGCAGCCAACGGCCAAGGCAAGGAAGCCTCGGCGTCGATGGTCCGCCTCCACCACTGGGATCCTTAGGCCAAGGCGTCCCCTTCTGCAGATGAGACCGTCAAGAACGTCCTGCCTTTTGCAATGTAAACACAGGAAAGAGAGAGAACGCGGAGGGATCGAAGCACACACGATACGCTGAACACGTAACGTCCAACTTAAGACACTCCAGGCATAGGTTCCCAAACTTTATTGCCTCGTAGACCACTTGACGACTTGTTTTCCGTAGACCCCCTGTCCCCTGCAACGCTTTGATGCAAGTCTAAACTTGCACCTCCAATTTTTCTCTCTCTCTGAGGTGGACCCCCTGCAAGTCGAAATCGAACCCTGGGGGTCCATATAGACCACTTTGGTAACCTATGAATCGTCCTTTTCTCTCTGTTCCCCCGCTAAAACTCCTCTCCCCTCCCCCGCCCTTGTCGAGGGCTAAAGCAAACATTGAAACTGCCTTGGTCAATTTCTTTCTTTCTTTCTTTCTTTGTCCTAATCGGGAAGAGGAACTTTGAGTCAGTGGAGTCAATAGTAATTGTGTATTGCCTCAATCCACATCTCCTTACACATGCTAGGCAGTTGGCTGCAACAGATGCTGTGGGGAAGTGAATTCTCAACTTTTGGCTGTGCAGCCAGATACTGCTGAGCTATCCAGTGGTTCACTGGTGATGCCCATTACCATATTGTTCCTGTTCCTTATTGATCCCCTGGGATTAATTTGGCCACCAATCATTTAGTCACAGAGCTCCTTGTGGAGAACTGAATATCAAGAGGGGTTTTAAAGGTAATTGCCAGGTCAACAACTTGTGACAAAATACAATCTCTGATTTGGGGCCATGTTGAAAATATTTGCCATGTAGTGCCACTCTTATATCTGAGGAAGTGGACTTGGCCACGAAAACTCACATTAAAATATAGCAGTTAGTCTTTAAGGTGCCACAGTGTTTTCGTCTTCTTTATTTTTTATTTTTATTTTGTTTTTGCCTGATATGCTAGCACAGACTAACATGGCTATCTCTTCTGAAACTACAAAGATGTTCTAAATCTAATATTCTGTCTATATCAAGAAACCTGATATAGTCCATCATTTATCAGTGGGACCAACTTTTGAGTATGAAAGTAATTTAAAATGTTACAATTGAGCCCTATAAGAGAAAGCTTGACCCTGGCACTTCCTAGTGGTCAGCAAAGTCAGGACTTGATTGCACAATAATAATAAGCATTACTTAATGATGTTCCCTAAACATGGACACAGTTCCACGTTCATCTGCTTCAAACTCCAAGTCTTTGTTTACTATTTCCTTCTTATGGGGGCCTCTTGGGACTGTGCAGCTCGCCCAAGGCCACACGGGCTGGCTCTTCCCCTAGGAGACACAGTGGGGAATTGAGCTTTCAACCAATATCGAAACTACTGAGCCATTCAAAAAGTTAACTAACAAGACGCAAAAGTAGGTTGCATGCTGTGTACATCTCCTGTCCAAGACCCTCCCATTACTTTCTGTTGCCTCACACTGCTTGACAATAGGACCAGCCATGGCTAGAGTGCAACCTGGGATTTTGGCAAACCTATACCCCTGTCTCCCAGTCAGAGGTATATCCCATGCAGCTGGAGGCTTCCTTTCCAGTTCTTCTACAGCAACCATCTACTGCCAAAGAGACAAGCTACTTTAAAAACTGGACAGAGGTTTGTAGTAAAATCTAGACCTATACATGTTGTACCAGAAGGAAATTTCTTAAAAAATGATGTTCAGCCTCTTGTTGCTGAATCTTACAGTGACATTGCTGATGGGACCTCAACCTTTGCTACACCAGTAAGTAGCAAGCTAGCTTGAGGACCAGGACATAGGGTGCAACATACTGTTCTGCCATCTAGGACATTGCTGGTATTTCCCATCTACCCCACTCCCCAACAGTACCCGTGACAGTAGTGGAATTCTTATACTGTACACAGATTCTCACATTAGCAGCTGTTCTTTTAATCAATTTGACACCTAGCAGAGGTGTGAAGTGCATGAAAATATCACTGTCATGAGTATGACAAGGAGAAGGAATGCACTGGGCTATCATGACCCCACTAGATCTGATTATTTTATGTGAATCTAACCAGAACTTTTATATACAAGTCTTCCCTTTCCAAACTGCTCTCAGAGACATACCTTTTCCTACCGTTTGTTCTTGCAACCTATATACAGTATTGGCTGAAATTTGTAGCGTAACATATGCACATGGTACAAGTTAAAACAGCAGTATTCTTTTTTTTAAAAAAAAAACCCTCCCATTACATGCAGAATGAAACCAAAACAATATCCAAGAAAAAGTTAATTCTGAGGCCAAAGAAATTTGCATGTTTCATGCAAGTCTTCTTTAATCTGAGAAGATCCATCAAGTAAATAGAACTATGTGCATATATGTGGGTTGATTGTTTTTGGAACGGCATGTCATTGTTTCAATTTATTTTCACAGCAGTAAAGGATAACCATACCTAAACAGCCTCCTTATCTAATCTACATTCTGCCAGTTCTTTTCTTTGTAAAAAATCTGTTCATGGTTATTATAAAAATCAGTATAACTCTTCCGGCTAATAGTAGGGCATTTTTTCCTTGGTAATAGCGCAGACTCTACAGTTGATTGAAATTAATATTTGACGTACAATCAAAACTAGTTTCTGCTTTCCTTCCCTGACTCCCACCCAGATGATCAGGCACAAACGTCCTTATTCTTGAAATTGTTCCATAGTATCTGCTCTCTTAATTAGAACTCTTGATTGTATTTCTAACACACTTTGCATTCCTCGGAAGAAAAGAAAGTGCTAAAATGGTTGTAATGTAATAAAATAAACATGAAAATAGGTACAGAACCAAAAGAATCATAATTCAAGATAATGCCTAAAGTTAATAAAAAATGTTCACAGCTCTCTTGAGATCTTGTGTGTTTATCATTTAAAAAAAAACCCAAAAACTATTATTGCCATTGTTTGTGATTTTATCAACCCCCTCCCTTCATCTGTACTAATGGAGAATGAGTAACTGGCTAGCAGAATGCCATCAATTTTGGCCTAAATATAGTTGTTACTCTCACCTGATGTAGAGCCAATGGATCAGTAGGATTTCAGCAAATAACATGTACTGTAGGCTTTTTTGTCTAACATGAAACCCTACTATTGGTATTTATGTTTGTATTTACAAATTTTCTCCTGTCTCACTCAAAATATACCTCTAGAATTAGATATTCTCAGTACAGTTGGTCATTTCTGTTAAAATACTGAATCCCTTGAGTAAAATGACCAGCAGAGATTATACTGATTGATATTAATGATAATGATAAGTAGATGTATTTTTTTTATCTAGGGAACAGTGAAAGGAGATGAGCTATCTATATAATTTTAAATATGGTGCACTGTTTAACAGAGCTGTACACAAGTTCCCCAATTTGATTTACAGGGCAATCTGGGGCTTCAGGATATATTCTGATTTCCTGGAGTGATTTGTTCCCCAGTTCTGAGTCAATTTGTAAATGCATTGACTGCACTGAAAAATCAACAAGGGTATAACAGAATAGTTTTCCCATCAAGGTGCACATAATTCAGAGACACAGCAGATCCTAAAGAGGCGAACACACCTATCAAAATTCAGGCAGCTTTCAGAGATTTGTGTAGCAGACACCTTTAAAATTTGCTTTAAAGAAGAAGTCTGAAGCTATTTGTACCCCTCCCAATTCAATTTATGCTCTAGATAGACACAAACTGATTTGTAAATTTACTTTGCTTCACTCAGATATGAATCTAGCCATTCTCTTTCTTTCTAGACCTCATATAAATCAGTCCAATTTGGTTAATAATTTGTGATCTGTCAGATTCTGCTGTACCCAAAAGGTGTAATGTTCAATTGTAAATAGCTGGCACTTATGAGTCCCCACTGAGATTCTTGAGTGTGCACCAAGCTAGCAGGTGGGCATGCAACCCCAAGAACTGCAGTGGTGACTTGTCAGTTGCTGGTTATGAATGACTGAATGTCAGGCTTCATGCATAACAGAACAACCGGATTTCAGCCGATATATAACCACTGCCAAGTAGATGATCATTTAAATAAGAGGTGGGCAGTTTGGGGCTCATGGAATTTTTATGCCCCTCAGCACCTCGCCTCAGTCCGCACACCCCTCCAAATTTTAGAGTTTTCTTTTAACCTTTTGTTTGTCAAGTCCCTTTTTGCTCTCTAGAGGTCATTGGGGTGATTTTTGTTTTGTTTTTTGGGGTAGCCCCAACACCTTTGGAGGCCATCAAGCCCTCAAATAATTGTTAAGCATATTTTAGAGGGAATTTTCTAGAAAGCTCAAGGGAGACTTTCAATTAAAAATGTTTTAGTTAAATCAGTTTTTTTAATTAACAAACATTCATTGTAGCAACCTTTACAATACATAATCACCACATTATTTTATTTTTTTTAAAGGACCAGGCAAATCAGCTTCTCCGGCCATGCCCTGCTCCCTTAGCCCCAACTCCATGATTGACAGCCACAGGTTAACATCTCTGAAAAATGGCCAGTGGCCCCACTGAAATTGCCTACTCCACTTCAAAATCACAATGGAGCAACATTAAAGGTAATCTATGATAATAGGAAAACTCTCAATTAATGGAAACATCTGAGCAGGAGATTTTCTTCTGCAAATTAGTTTGATTTATTTGGTGATTGGTCTTTAGGGCGTAACCACAGGATTCTTTTGTAAACAAAAAAAGACTGCCTCAGTCACTTCTCTGCAACAGTACAGTATTATATTTTTGGCTGTAAATACAGGATATCTCTAACACCTGGCATTAGTCCTGCTTTGA